CATCTCCTGCCCCCAGATGAGGTTAGGTAGATTTAAATTTTAATCAGTTAGATCCGTTGTTTTTAATGGGAATTTAAATTGAACTAGGGACTGAAAACATTAGGGGGCTGCAAGTCGCTCAGCTGGAACGTGGTAGCAGCATTTCCCCTGGCTCCAAGATGGGTGGTGGCTTGCTGTAGTGTGATCCTCAGTGCAAGCCCTTTCTGACTAGATCTCAGGAATTAGTAGGTGGCAGAGCATTGGGACTAAGCTATTTATTATTATTATTATTATTATTATTTATTTATATATTTAGTTTTTTGGCCCCATAAGTCAGAGAAGGAAAGCTTCCTAGAGTGATTTCAACCCACTTCTTTGATCAATGGGACTTGGGTCTTCCGTCTAAGCCTGGATGACCAAAACAAGGGAAAGAAAGGGGGTATATGCTAGAAGATGCCCCCATCCCTGTACATCACCCCCCTCTTTGGGCCTTCCCATGAGYTGAGGAAAGGCAAGCAGGGACACGCTTAATTTAAGAAACCTCAGCCCTTAAACACAAAGGGTAGAGTACACATCGCACACTGAAGATAGAAGAGGATCCCTTGAACCCCTTGATGCCAGGAACTAAGCCTTACAGTGTGGTGACAGTGGTGAGTCCTTAGAGTCTTGGGCAAACTGGGTTTTGTTTATTCATGATCACATCTGTTTTAAATTTTTACATTTTACATGTGAAATATATCAAATACACAGATGTCTTTTCTACATTTTTTACTGGTGTACTCTAATTGTACATATTGATGGGATTTGTTGTTGTGTATTTGTACATGCACACAAGGTAACAATATAATTTGGCCAATATCATGCCCCAGCATTTCCCCCCTCCCCCTCCCTCTCTCTCTCTCCCTTCCACTCTCTAGTTCCTTTCCTTTGCTGATCTCCCTTTGATTTTCATTCCCATGAGATTCCACCCCCACCTTTCTTTTCCTTTTTCTGTCCAGCTTCCACATATGAGAGAAAACATATGACCGTTGATCTTTTGAGTTTGACTTAGTTTACTTAACATGATGGCCACTTGTTCCATCCATTTTCCTGCAAATGCCATAATTTCATTTTTCTTTATGGCTGAATAAAATTCCATTGTGAAATATACAGAAGTCTTTAAAAACCAAGGCATTGTCTTAGTCCATTTTCTGTTACCATAACAAAATATTTTAGTTTGGGTAATTTATAAAGAACAGACATTTTTTTGGCTCATGAGTCTGGAGGCTGAGAAGTCCAAGAGCACGATGCTGGCATCTGCTGGGGGCTTGGTGAGGGCCTCATGCTTCATCTTAATATAGAGGAGGACATCCCCTGGGGAGACAGAGCAAGTGTGCCAGCTCAGGCCTCACTTCTTCTCATAAGACCACTAATGCCATCTGGGAGCTTCACCCTAATGACCTCATCTAATCCTAATTACCTCCCAAAGGCCCACCTCCAAATACCATTAATATATGAATTTCTAACACATCACCTTTGGGAAACACATCTGAATCATAGCAGACATCCAAGTACCACCCAGATTTGTTGATGTTAGTATCTTACAGTATTTTTAAACATGGAAATGATATATTACAAATATCACTGAAGCTCCATCTACTTCTGTAGATCATCTCTCCTCTGTAATCAGTATCTGAAATTTAGTTCAAATCATCCTCCTACATGATTTTGTACTTCAGCTACACATGTCCATATGTGTGAACATTACCCACATGCATAATATTGCTTTGTATGGTTAAGAAATATACAAAAGTTGCATCCAGCTATATAGATTGTTTCACAATGGGTCCCCATACTGTTGCTCTCTTGCAGAAACCACAGACAAATTACATCCCCTTTTGAGCTACAGGGAAGTATGTGGTAAGGTGCTGCTTATATTAATTTTGGCACAATCCAGATGAACAATCAGGGCCTGGAAAGAGACCAACTTGACATTCTACAGGCAGCATCAGCAGGACTTTGTGATTGATTTGATGCACATATTGGCAGGAATTGGAGTGAGGAATAATGATTATGGTCCAGGTATTGGTAGGGAGATTAATGCTGGTCACTGAGCTCAGGGGCAGATACAAGGATACTGCTCAGGTTAGGTGATGGGTCCTCTTTTAGACCTGTTGAATTGGAAGCAACTACAGCACAACAGATGGAAAATTTCAGAATGCCATGAGATATTTGGACTTGAAATTCAGGAAAGAGTCCTGAGCTAGAAATGCCTTGTTGGGTTCGTTGAGCATCTCATGAGCGTTCACTTCAGGCATTATAATAGTTTGGTTTAAGAAACTTCAGTGGCACCTTTACCTGGAATAAATAGTGTGGGTCAGACTCACCAAATTTCTACCGAACTCTGACAAGTATCAGCAAGAGAACCAAGGTTGAGTTAACTAATTACCATGTCAGCTTCAAAGGTTAGAGTTATACTTGAGACATTTTTCCCTCCAATCATCCATGGGGATTTTCTCATTTGTGAGATTCTATAAATCCTCTCTGAAGATAATTCCTGCTTTCTCACTGTACCATGCCTTAGTGTTAAAGATTTTATAGACTTTATTAGCCTTTATGTAGACTTCTTTCTATTTGCCCAAACTTGCCACCTTGTTATGCTTCAAGGTGCCCTGACCTTTCCTGGGATTTGCTGACGGTACATATGTAACCCAGTGTATCATTTCTTTCACAGACATTTACTCTGGGAACTCTACTCTTAAGTCTGCCGTGAATGGTTTTCTGCAGGGCGGGAAGCAGATGGACCATTCCCTATTCTGCCTGTAGCTTGCTGCAGATCTTACTTGGGGCCTGTGGTCCACCCTCACTAGTTAGCCGCTGACTTTCATGGGGAAGTGTCTCCTTTTTATAAGGGACAGATGCCTGTCCCCACCTCCAATCTCTGCCTCAAGGCCAGCAGAACGCCCTGAGAGGCCTCCTTTTGTGTGATTGGAATCAGCCCTCAGTAGCTACAAAATGTAGGGTGGGGTCCAGGAAGAGTTTGGGTAGCTGCTGCTGTTGAAAGAGTCCGGAAAGACCTGGCACACTTAGGATAGGGAATGGCTGCAGATGGGTGGGCCCTAGTTTTCTCTCCATCTCTTGCTTTTATCTTCTCCTCCTCCTCCTCCTTCATCTCTCCCTTCCCCTTTGCCCCTTCTTCCTCTCTATTCCCCTCTCTTCCTTCTTTTCCTCCTTGCTCTCACTGGGATGTCTCAGTGCAGTCCCTCTCATTACCACCTGCCCATGCCTACCCCCTCCTTCCCTTTAGTACTTACTTGATTCTTTTCCCACCCTACAACTGGCCTCTGGCTTCCTCAGGGCCTGTTCCCTGGTCTATGACCTCACAGATTCCAACACTGAATGACCTTTTTACTATAATGTCTATCACCATCTGTCAGGAATCCCTTGGAGTCAGGATTCTGACTTCCTTCATCTGCTTCAGCCTACCACACCATCCCTGGGCCCCCCAGTTCCATTAGCAGGGGAGGAGGCAGGGTCACAGAAGCCAGGACGGGCTGTGATGGAGGCAGAGTCCCTGAGAAGAGACTGTGTGAGGCAAGAGTTACCAAACATGCCTACCACAAGAACCATATCCCAGAACCCCTCCAATTAACCTTTCCCAGGTAGATGGCCCTAAGCATGGCTCAAACTCCCAAGTGGGAAGCTGTGATTTATAAATGGTTCCTCATGGCTATGCCCAGCAGCCTCACCAAACATCACCTGGAATTAGACCTGCAGCTCAAGCGTTCATGTTATTTATATGTTAGTCTGCAGGGAGTGCCTTGCTTGATGCCACAGTCATCCTGATCTGTAAAATAGAGAATGTGGACTTGCTGTTGTATCCTTCATGAACACTTCTGATACATGATTTGAAAGTTTTCCCCTAGATTGAGAGTCCTGTGTTATAGTCACCTGGGCAGTGAGTGGCAGAAGGCAGATTGTGACTGGGTGCATTCAGAGCCTGCCTCCTCTTCCCTGTGCTCCATGGCTACTGTTGACACACCCTGTGTCCCTTATGGGTTTGAGTCACAGAACTTTCTATTAATAGATTTGCCTCAAGTGTCTGAAACAGGCTTAGAATGGGAAATCCTTGTCCCACCTTCATACAACTGGAAAACACTACAGAACTTGAATTTTTCACCTTTCAAATAAATAAATAAAACACCAAACAACCAAGCTGTACAAAATCCAGCTTGCACAACTTAGTCACATGGAAACACGAAGAGGAAGAAAAAGTGATCTGGTTTCCACTTTATAGGTAGTTTTGATTTAGAAAATGTGCCTCAGAATCCAGTTCCTACAAATACAAAAAAAAAAAAAAAGGGGGGGGGAGAGGGCTTGGTTTTGCTTCTAGAATAAAAAGTAAAACTACTCTTGAATGTTTCAGGTCTCACCAGAGTTTCCATTTATCCTTTTTTTACTTTTGCCTACCTGGATATTCTTGTCTCTCCAGCTACTGAGTCAAATCGATACATATTGTGGGAAACTCTTCTCTCCCCATGACGAGAATTAAGTGGGATCCAGTTCCGACAACATGAGTTAATCATCACTAGAAATATTGGCAAGAGCTGGGGATGTTTGTATTCCTTGGGGACAGCTTAGCATCTCCGGATAAACATTCCAGTTCAATCTTCTGCCTTCTCTGGGTCTTCCATCTCCAAACTCTCTCTCCCCAATAAAGAGGATGAGCCAAAAGCAACTTGAGGATCGCTGGTAATTTACAAAGTGAGGACGATACTTCAAAAGAGTTGGCAATGAGTTGTCATTGGTACTCAGTAATGTGTTGTGATATAGTGTATTTTTTGCACAGTTATACAGTAGCAATATGACTTGTTTTTAACCTCAAAAAAGAAAGTCCAGTATTTGGATTGCCAAACTACTGCCATCTCCAAGATAAGAATGCCCACCCCTGAGGCCTCTAGCTCTTAGAAGCTCAGTCCTTCCAGACAGGTTGTTAAGCAAATAAAATAAGAAATGCTTTTCTGCTTGTGCCCTCATTTTAGAATAGAAAGATCTACTTGGACATCATCCACACGTATATGGAAGTGCATGCAACAGTTTATGGCTCCAGCACAAAGAATATTCCCAGTTACGTGAAAAACCATGGCATACTCAGTGGACGGGACCTGCAATTTCTTCTCCGAGAAACCAAGGTGAGTTTTCAGTAGATTTATAAACATTGACCAGGGTTGCTCTTTACAGGTTTGTTTCCCTTGGCATTAAAAATGGGATCAGAATCTTTCTTGTTTTCTTTCTAACAATGCAATAGCTCTTTAGGCCTTGATTGGGCAGTAGTTTCCTAGAAGCTGTCACTAAAAAAATTAGTGAATAGGGAAAGAAGGTTGCTACTGTTTGTTAATTGATTTTTGGCAAAAAAAAAAAAAAAATAAATGTGCAATTAAATTTTTTTTTCAAAAATTGTATTTGCACCATTCCTGAATTAACTAAAAATAAGTAGGGAGGTCAGGAAATTTTATAATTAAAAAAAAAATTTACAGAGGATCTTCTCTGTGCCAGGCAGCAAGCCAGGGGCTGGGAGTAGGGCCAAACATGGGAAAGGTAAGGACAGACCTTCTGCTAGAATAGGAGCCTCTTCACAGTAAGCCAGGGTTAATGAACTCTCCACTCTGTTACCGCTGTTCAAGGAATCAAATTGRGTCCCTAACCAGCTTTTCCTCATAATTCCTCATTTAACAAGTATGTCCTGGACACCAGAGGGGAAAAAAAAAAAAAAGAGGTTCATATGGGAGAAAAATCTCTGCTGGCTCAGGGAGCGGAGAAATCATCATGACAGATATAAGAGATTGATGGGGTATGGATGCACCTACTATTGAACCATATAAAGAGTCAGAATCAGGTAGCCAAGGTGCCAATGGCATATTCAGGAGAAAACTAGAAAGCAACCTATCCAGAAAGTATTGGAAAATAGTGGAAGATTAAATGCAACAGGAAATAAGGGTCAATGGTCACAGAAAGAAGCACAGTGCAGACACTGCACATAGATAGTTGGGGAGCCACTGAGTGTTATTGTACTACACTATAGCATAATGGCCTGGGGCTTTGTGGGCTATGTCCTTTCTATATTCCTGCATTAAGGTAACACATGAAGTTAAGTGGCTTATGAATAACAGAGTTGGCCTTGAAAGCCCTTTAATGTATTTGATATGCTTTCTTGTATTTACTAATAAGTTTTTTTTTAATAAATTTTGTATATACTTATTGAACAATTGCTATATACCAGGCATTGTGCAAGGAATGCAGCAGTGAACAAAACAAGCACATCCCTCCACTAGTGTTTCCTAAAGCATAGAGAAGTTTATTATCACGGGTGGATTTCTTAACTCTGGTCCTTGGCTCACTTTTGTTTTTATATTCAAGATAGGGCAGAGAGGTTGAACAAATGAACTTTTGTAGCATGTTAGCCATCGCTGATCTTATTTAGAAGGTACATTCATATGTGCTATCCTCTTGGAATCTCACAACAGCCTTAAGAGGTAGACAGTGATAGTAGGGTTGTTAACTCTGGAGAGCTGGACATGCCTATGGTAAATTAAGGTCAAGTTGTGGAGGTCACTCTAACTCATGATTGTTTTAATTGCAAATTAAATCTCTGCTAGGCTGTTGATGAACCAGCCTCATAAACACCCAAACCCAATGGAAACCGACCTATCAAAGAGTATCTATCTCCTCTGCTTCAGTTTCTCCATCTGTAAATATATTTGATCCTTTCAGCCTTCAAGTTATTTGTGCAATAGCATGAACAAAATATTCTGTCAGTTCTTTAACTCCTTGGCCAAAGATCTGTTTTGTTTTAATGAAGATTTTATTTCCTTGTAAGGTCACCTGTAATCAGATGATTATTTGAAGCCCTCCAGGAATGACGTGTGTCCCCAGTTTTACCATTTGCTTCCCGTCACCTCCTGTCTTAGGTTGATATTTTAGAATCATCAGGATGTCCGGGCCCTTTAACAGCAATGCTATTTTTTGCTATTTGCCTCATTTTACTTTTCTCCACATCAGGTTGTGGAAAAAGTTCAAGCTCCTTTAAAATAACATTTGACAGAGCTGGTTTTCAGCAGCATGTCATTACTGTCTCGCACACTTCTATTAACCCAGCCTCGTGAATGTCTTGCTCAGCCTTGCAAATTTTAAAAGAACCCTTACTTACTTACCATCCACTTACCCTGTCATAGAATAGGAAATAGGCCAAAACTGAGGTCCCTAATGTCCAGGAGAGAACAAGAAGAGGCCCATAAAACCCCAGCCACGATGTCAGAGGTGGCCTACAGCCAAGGAGGGCAGCTTGAATTTTAGCATGAGGGACATGTATTCATCCTTGAAAAAAAGAGTACCTTCTGAGCATGTCCCTGAGCCCATTACATGGTGCCTGCTTATCTGACAAGAATATATTAAAATACTCCAAGTGGAACTATGGCTCAAACAGTTAGCAAATAGGATGAGGCTAAGGCAGTGTATCGCTGAGATTCTCCTCACACCCAGAACACACCCTCACACACTAAAATGAATGGATCTTGGCCTTTGCAGTAGTGACACGGAAGGCCGGCCAGCCGTTGCATTTATAACCCTTTCTGCTTCCAACTCCTTCCTCTGCGTCTCTGAGCAACTTAAAAGCGATTTATTCCAATCCACATTGGAAGTGGAGACCTGGAGCTGCTGAGGACTGTGGAATAAAGAAGATTCACAGGCTCTTCAGCCTCATTACTGGAGAGGGAACAAGCCTGAGCTCCTMGAGAGGTTTGAAGGAATGATTGATGTTTAATCAGCTCCAGACTCATTATTTTTCTTTATGAGCCCTCTTTGAATCTCTGCACCAAGCCCAGGAAACCCTCTGCTCAGCAGAATTTGTCCTGGCATGCCATTAGGGGCCCAGGCATCTCCAGCAAACTCTTGCTTCAGGGAATCTGGAAAGACAGGAGGAATTAACGAAACACTGAAAGAGCTGAGAATTTGTTGTAATCTAGAGAAAATGATAGAAATTTGGATGAATGAATTATTTATCAAAGGACCACAGACAAGTCATTCAGTCCAGCAAACGCCAAGAGATCAGTTGAGGTCAGCAAATCAGGATTCGCCAGAGTGGCATGTTTTTAATTTTGACTTAAATCTCCATCTCTTGTAATATATTTTCTTTCTTCACCTTCCTAATCGTAACCTCTTCATGTCCACCTTCCTCTTCTTGCTTTGGGAAGCTTCCTAATTACATTTGTGATATCGAATAGGGCATTCACATTCGACACTGGGCTACAAGGATGTCTGCAGTTCTGATGTAGGAGCCAGACAAGGTACCTTCCTTTCTGCAGTCAGAACAACTCTGACTGTGGCCTGCCAGGCGAAGCTGCTACTAGTGCTCATGCTAGAGCTGTACCCTTCTGTACCCAGACTTTATTCCTTTCCCCCTCCAAGCCTTGGGTAGACCATGGTGATCCTGGTTCCCTACCATGCCAGCTCACATAGAGGCCTGGATGGATTTGGCAAACGGGCTGCCACATCCTATCCTGTCTTCATGCCTGACTCCCCACCCTCTGCCAAACAGACATTCATTCAGCTATGACTTTTCATACACAGCTTGGATGGGTTTTGAAACCTCTCTCAGAATCAGGCCGTCATGCAGCACCATGAATTTTGCACCAGAGGTTTTGCTTGTTCTCTTTGTGGGTATATTCCCAGTGCCTAGAAGAACACCTGGCTTATAGAAGGTACTAGATACAGGCTAAATATCCCTGATCCAAAATGTTGCAATCCAAAACATTTTGGGTGCTGACATGATGCCACAAGCACAACTCCCACACAACTATACCCCAACTATGGATGCTAGCCCATGATGTGCAGTTGTGTGACATTGTAGCAGAATATGAACTTGGGCCACTACTTAGTAAATGTTCATAGAGTGCCGAGTTTTGGAATATTGAATATTTCTATGAAATATCTCACATAATCCTCACAACAACCCCATGAGATAAAACAATGTTGTTGTCCCCATTTTGCACTTGAGAAGGTCCCAACCCTGGAGAAAATAGAGTCTACATGAGCCTCAGAGAATCCACAGACAGGCAACTTGTCACAGTTATGGAAGTAGGAAATGATGGTGTCAGGACTTGAACCCTGGTCTCCTTGACTCCCAAGCTTGTACTGTTAATTGCTACTTTGTGTCATAATCAATTTATTGGGTAAACCAAGGTTACTTCATTGCTCCACTCCCTCCTGAGCCACCTCAGCGCGGCTAATTACTGATCATCAGAAAAGCGTATGTTGAGTATACCCGATTTTGGATTATTCTTGATGTTCCCCATCAAAAGTGACTAGAACTGGGCTGGGAGTATAGCACAGTGGTAGAGCCCTTGCCTAGGAGGCTGACACTCTGACTTCCATCCTCAGCACCACCACCCAAAAAAAGAAAGTGACTAAAACTGACCAAAACCATGCAGCTATCATAAGAACTGCCTTTGTCCGTGTTTGAAGGAATCTTTAAGTGCCCCACTTAAGGGTTTGAAATAATTCCATTCCTCCTTTCACACAGAGAAAAATTCTGAGAGGAAAAATTTTGCCGGTCTCTGTGTTGGAATGTTTCAACCCTATGCTGGGAAGAAAGCGTATGGTGCTTCATCTGCCCTCTTTCTCTTAGCATTAGTTCACAATTTAATTTTAGAGCATGTCATCCCTCTGTTTAGGAACACTCACTGATGGGGTTGGAATTGCAGCCATGGAGATGTTCTGTCACCTGAAATATCCTTGTTAGATTCTGGGCTTCTGAGGGCCAGATGCAGTTTAAATAAAATATGGACAGTTTTCTCCTGAGAAGGTTATCCCCAGTGCTTGAATGCTATCCCACTTCTGTCTCTTTCATCCATGCTAAGGAAGTCTGCAAATAGGTGCAAGGACTGGGGAGTGGAGATTAGGGCCAAAACAATTTGTTACAATTAAGGTACTGGTTTGTGGCAAGGCCTTAAGCATGCCGAAGTTTCTAGCTAGAAGTGGTGAATTTTCTGTGCCTATCCTGTTGTCATTCAACTCTCAGATGTGCTGTCTGACCTTAATATATCTGCTCCATCATAATGTCACAAGTAATGAGTAGACAGGAAGCAAGGAAATACTTGCTTATTGACAGAAGTGACAGAAAACTATTATTTGGTGTTTCCAAATTATGCATTTTCTGCAGTCTTAATTAGTGTGACAGGAAAACCCATTGCCAAGAAATTATGTGGTATTTGCTCAAGTTTCCTTCTAAATAGGCTTGGGAGAGGTAGCCCAAAGTATTTATTTTCTTCGTACTGAGATATTCTGGTGCCAGCAGGGCAGAAGAGTTGGTGCAAATAGTTATTCAGATATAATTAAACCTAGGTCATATTCAAGTCCATTAAGCAACAGCCTCAAATCCTTTTAATTAATAGGTTTAGATTGGTTGATCTGAAGGAGTTAATTAAATTTTTCTCCAAGATTTTCCATTGAAATAGACAAGCATTGTGCTTCTTCCATTTCCTCCAAAGTTGTTATTGACAGTTTAGAGTTGATAAGGGTATTGGCACTTCATGGCAGGCCCCAATTTCCAAAGGTCAGGAACCACTGTGGGTGCTGGGTCTCTGACTAAACCCATGAAAACCTAGTCTGCATCTTTTAGTACCTCTTTTAATCAAAAAGGCCCGGATGTTCTGTGCCGTGCTCTGCCCAAACATGGCCTGATGGAGGTCATCTGTTTTTTCCTGGAGAGTTTTGGCACATCCTTCCTAAAGTGTGATAGGAAGAGGAGGTCACAGAAGTCATAAGCCTTAAGGATGGAAACCCTGGATTCTTCATGCTCAATAAGGCCTCTTTCCAGCAGAAACATCTCAATGATTGCTCATTTAAAACAGCTGCATGGGGTTGGGGAGCTGAGGAGAGAGCCTGGGGAATGTCCTGGAGCACTAGTACATCCCAATATTTATTTGCACTCAGGCCTTTCCCGCCTCTGGGCCACAGTGCCTGGGCCACACTCTGTATTCAACAGTTCTCTCTGAGAATCTGACTTCTGTTCACTGTGCACCAAGAATGAGATCCAGAGCAGGAGAGTGGAATAGAGATTTCCCTCTATGCTGCAGCTTCCAGGCCCTCACCCTCACCCCATGATCTCCAGGGACTCTTCCTTTCAAGGGGAAATGACACAGCCAGCAGTAGGAGTTCTGCAGGCCTCCTGAACCTTCTGTTCACCCCACCTCCCTCCCTCCCTTGTGGATGTCCCTGGCTGTGTGATCTCAAGGTTCACAGAAAATGAAAGGTTATTTCTTGATCAAAAAAAAAAAAAAAAAAAAACCAGAAAGGTTAAGTGCCCTGTCTATACAAAAACCAATAGGTAAGGAGTTTCTTCAGAAAACCTTTAACTTTAAGTGTTTTGCTCTGAAACTCGTTAGGGAGCTGCATGATTCTCCAATGTCACATGTGGACTGCGCTCTGTGCGGCCCTTGTGTTGAGTGCCAGACACATGCATCCTTTGTCTTCCAGGAATGCACAGGGAATCCAGCAGCTTGGACCCGGTGCTTTCCAGCAGAAACATCTCAATGATTGCTCATTTAAAACAGCTGCATGGGGTTGGGGAGCTGAGGAGAGAGCCTGGGGACAGGAGAACCACACATACAGATAAATCCAGTTCAGCAGACTCCTCCATTCTCAGGACCTTCTGTGGGTGTTTCTCACCATGAAGATGAAAGGAAGCACTGCCCTGGGGCCCACCTGGCCTTTGTCACTTGACATGCCTGTTGGGACTGGAGAGATTTCAGAATTGACTCTGTGATGTGGGTAGGAAGAACACAGGCCTCACTAAGCTCAGGCTTGGACCCCACCCGTCACCTACCTCCAGCCCTCCAGCACGTGTGCAGTATTCTCGAATGAACATTATGCAGAGTGAGGCATTTCTCTGAGATATTATCTCATTTTTGGACCCAGGAATCAGATCCACTGAACTGTAGCAGCACGCCCCCTTTGTCACAGTGGCTCCCTGCTGCTGTGGTTGTTCCTAAGACTTTGAGAGAGCGTGTTTCTGCTGCCATCTATTGTCTGCCTTGGGGGAAACATGTGGCTTGCTTGCTGGAGCAGGAAGCATTCATTGCCTTGCAGATTTAGCAACTGAGTACCTTCTCCCCCCACCCAGAGGAAAGTAAAACCGAGATGTTGGTGTCCCCCAGTGAAAACCCCATTATGAAAACCTGTGTTTACTGACCTACCATCGTTTTAAAGCAGTTCCATTTGAACTGTAATCAAACCACCAAGTGACCTTTCTGTCCCTCTGCCCAGCGTCCCTGAAAGGGCCTGTTGTTTGCTGCTTCAATGAAGAAACCTTCTGTTTAGTTAAGCAAGTGTTTTTCCAGTCATGTCTCCTGGTGAGTTACAGAAAGATGATTGTAGGGCCTTGGTTTTTGTTGTTGTTGTTTTTTCTTTTAATACTCTAGCCACCCTACAACCCCCCTCCCAACATTTATTTCCTTACTTTTTTTAGCGGAGAAGAATACCATACGCTGAGCCACTTCAGGAGGGTTTTAAAAGTCCCTGGCGATGTTTCTCAGATCTTGGAACAAGCCCCTTCTTTTTGCCCCACCCCACCGCCTAGGATCTGGGACCCTTCCAGAGTGTCTGAGGCATTCACAGGAATGGACCACAGTGTAGCCCCCTGTGAGCCAGGGAGGCCAGTCCTGACTGATGTGTTTATATATGCATGTTTTTCTGTCTTCCAGTTGTTTGTTGGGCTTGGGTTCCCTTATGAGGGTCCAGCTCCCCTGGAGGCTATTGCAAATGGATGTGCTTTTCTGAATCCCAAGTTCAACCCACCCAAAAGCAGCAAAAACACAGACTTTTTCATCGGCAAGCCAACACTGAGAGAGGTAAGCATCTCTCGGAATCATTCTATTTTCAATTACAGGAATAATTGGGGGTAGGTTGTAGCTCAGTAATAGAGCACTTGCTTAGCGTGCTCAGGGTCCTGGGATCAATCCCCAGCAACAAGGGAGGAAAAAAATAATAACTATTTACTTATTAATGCTAATGTAGGTATAGTCTTCTTGGTATCTATGGAGAATTGGTGCCAGGACCACCCCCCTTGGCCACCCCCCCGCCAGACGCAGGCGCTCGCGCACACACACAAGACACCAAAATCTCTGGATCCTCAAGTCACTTATGTAAAATGGCATAGTATTTGCATAGAATATCCTCTTACATACTTCAAATCATCTCTGGATTACTTATAATTACAATGTAAGTGCTACATAAACAGTAGTTATGCAGTGTTGTTTAAGGGATAATGTTAAGAGGAAAAAGTCTGCCCATTTTCAGGGTACATGAAGTTTTTTTCAAATGTTTTTAAAAATTTCTGGATCCAGAGATGCTGAACCAGGGATAAAGAAAGCAGAGAAGTGATGGCGTTATTAGCATCATCCAACATGGTTATGTGGGAAGGGAAAAGGTTAGGGAACTGATCCTGGAGCTTAGAGAAACAAATGATCCAGTCACATCACCTCTGTGCCAACTGTCTAATGAACAAGGACATTCTAGCCTTTTGATTGCAGCTGAGCTCTTCTTGTCTGAAGCTAAGCTCTTCTTGTTGGGAGCTTCGGATAAGATCAACTGAGTAACAAATTTGTAACATATTTGTGGAGAATCAACACTCCATGATCAGCTATTGAGAGTTAAAAGTGGGCCATGGATATTCTCCAGGAACCTCAACCTTAAGAGGCAGGACATGTCCCTGGGGACTCAGGTGATATGCCTGAGTTTTTAGCCCACCATCAACAGGCACCACCCCATGAAGTGGTCCTGCCATTGCTAGAACCATTTGCAGAAGCCTTGCTTCAGTTGCCTTCAAAGATCAGCTTGAAAATTCACAATGAATGATGAATCACCACCAAGGAAAGCTGGATTTGATTTGGGGCAATAAACAAGTCATTTGCAGCTAAGTGTGAATGATCAAGCTGGGTGCTTCCATATCTGGCCAGAAAAAAGATGTGTGCAAGAAACTTTAAGAATGATTTTCTTTTTATTTCCATGTAGTCAGTAGGTGGTTCTGCAAAATGCTCTCCATCAGTTAAAGCAGCACCCTTGTCCTTCAGGGCCTTCAACAGGGGGATTACACTGATGGACAGTCCTCCCATGACATAAACATGACTTTTTAAAGCATTTATTTTTTCAGTGCTGCTACTTTGAAACCCTTCTGGGTCACTTTCTCTGAATCTGTTATAACTGTGTAACAAATGTTATATAGTACATAAAATACATTTTAGTGATGTTTATTAATGAATCAGGAATCCTATCAGTTCATAGAACTGATTATTTTTAAGAGTTCTTTTATCCAACCCCCTRTATCTTTGGTGAAATGGCCAAAAGAGATGGAAAATCAACAAGAACCATAGATTATCTCAAAGAGGTTAACTGTAGCCCAGATAAACTCTGACAAGGGTTAACTGGATGTTTGCTTACTTTTTACCTTTTACTCTTCATGGAAGTGGTTTCATTTTGAAAGGTCAGTTCATTCACCAATATTTAGCTCACCTGAGTGCCAGGTGCCAGTGTCGTGGGAGGCGCTAGACACAGAGATCAGGAACAGTCTTGAAGAGCCTATTTTTATGGAAAGGCTTAAAAGACTTTCCCCAATAGGGAGACTAACTTCTCAGTTTAGAAATCTCTGCTACAGCACGTGACTGATTTTGAAACTTTAGAGTTTGAGATTGAAAATAGATTTCAGTCATCCCTAGTAGTTTTTGTTTGTTTTTCACAAATAAGAACTATATATTTAAGATAAACAACTTGATATTTGAAATAATAAACATTGCAAAGTGATCACCATAATAAAGCTCATTAACACACCCATCACTATTCTTTGATGAGACTGTTCTTCTCCATTGTGTATCGTCCATAGGTTTTCCTTTGGGTATAGAAAATCTCAGAAGTTCCTTCTTCTGTCCAAATTGCTTTTTTTTTTTTTTTTTTTGAAATTTCCCCTATTTTAAAAGCTTGTGATAAATCATACATAATATAAAACATTTTAGCCATTTATAAGTGTGATTCACTGGCATTAAGTAAATTCACAGTGTTGTGCAACAATCACTGTTATCTATCTGTAACCTTCTTCATCATCCAAGCAGAAACTCTGTCCCTTTTAAACTCCCCATTCTCCCGTCTTCCTCTCTCCTACTTTATATCTTTATGAATTTGCCTACTCTAGGGGCTTGATGGAATCATGTTATATTTGTTCTTGGGTCTGCCTTATTCACTTTGTGATGTTTTCAGGGTTGATCATGTGGTAGCGTGTGTCTGAATCCTTTTAATTTTTTTAAGGCTAATATTCCATTGCATGTATTTACCATGTTGAACTTATCCTTTCATTTGCTGATGGACATTTGAGCTGTTTCCACTTTTTTTTCCCTCTTGTGATTAATGCAACTATGAATAGTGGTATACCCCTGTCTGCTTGAGTTCCTGCTAATAACTCTTTTGATTATATGCCTACAAGTAGAATTTTGCAGTTTTTACTGATTTTAAGATAGTCTACAGAGAAGTTGCAAAAATAATATAGCATTGAGGTATACTCTTCATCCAGCTTCATCTACTGGTGACATCTTACAGAACCCTAGTACAATTATCAAAATCAAATAAAATTAACAGCAGTACCTTAGTATTATCTGAACTAAAGACTATATTTGCACTTTGCCATTTTTTTCTGCTAAAATCATTCTTCTGTTTCTGGATCTGATTCAGAATCCCATGTTGCATTTGATTGTCAATTGTCATGTCCCCTTAGTCTCCCAATCTGTAAAAATCCAGCCTTTCATTGTCACTCATGACCCTCACTGCTTTTAAAGAATACAGATCAGTTGTTTGTATGCTGAGTGTTTCCTCACACCACTGAGAACACTCCAGACACATGGCCAAGTCAGGGATGTCACGTTACATGGCCCAGATCAACCAGTACGAAGTTATCAAGAAAAGTATGTTCATTGTTTTCTGTCAGTTAGTGCCATCATTTAGTCATTTGCTTTCTGCTGAGGTCACCGAGGGTTTTCACTCTTTATGCCATAAAGAGAGAACAGACATTGGAACTGCTGCCTGGGATGATGCCACCAGGCCCGAAATGAGATTCCAGTAGAAAGACAGTGTGGACTGCTTTCAGCGGTTGCTCAGCGAGTGACCTCAGACAGATGACTCCATCAGTCCTGGGCTCCCACTGGAGGGCTGAGAGGCAGAAGGGCAGTTGACAGATGTTTAATGCATCCCTACAGAGTCCATGGTACTATTTGCTGCGTTAAGGGAATTCAGCAGGACACATTTTCTGTTTTCAGAGCTCTAGATCTGATCTGGAAGAAGGACAGCTCTAGATCTGATCTGGAAGAAGACAGCTGCATAATCAGTGGGAGTGCATAAGAAATAGGTAGATGGATTAAGGAGGGGAGTTAACTTGGAGTTGTGCCAGGTGGAAGGAGAATGTGCAGGGTTAACTGACAAGGATTGACAGGTGGGGCTGGGCCTTAAAGAAAGAGGAGAAGAAAGGACTTCAAGCCTGAGAGGGATGAATGTTGATGAACTTGGGGGACCCCAAGAAGGTCAGGTTCCATCTGTAGCTCCCTCCAGCAAAACCAGGCAGCTTTGAGAGGGGCTGCCTCCTATGTTTTTTCAGCTCACAGAAGCTGCCAAATCCTCCTAACCAAAGATGCTTTTAATTAGGAAAAAGCTCTCAATAGGTCTACAGATTTCTAAGGGTCAAAACCCCTTAGAAATTATCTTTTATTTTCCCCTCAGGAAAGGGGAAAATTTTACAAGTATATATAATTATATATATATATATATATATATATATATATATATATATATATATATATATCTGAGTGTGTATGATTATAAATCTCTTTTTGCCTATGTTAATCTTTTATGTCAATCAACAATTGATCCAACATAAATTGGTCCATATCAATTGCCTATGGGTCTCTTTTTTGCCTTCACTTGAAGGGAAAGTCTAGAGTTCTAACTGAGTTTAAGCTTTGTTTTTATTTTTGCATTGGGCCAAGTTTTTAAAATACAGTGTATACTCAGAGGGGAAAACATTTCACAATGCCTTAGGTTATACTTGGTTCTTTATACTTTAATATGAATTGGATTTTTATTTTTATCTTCATATTTGGAAACATATTAGTAGATTCCCAGTCATTATTCTGACATTTTGTAAACTATGAGAAATTCTCTTGAGTTCAGGGTTTGTTTTTTTTTTTTTTTGTTTTGTTTTGGGTTTTCTTAACCTACCCAATAAAGAGAACCCATGTTCTCTTTGGAGATTTAATAGCTTCTCTGAAGTAATGTCTCATATTTAATAAGATTTTCATTACTTTTACAAACTATACTCTAGTAAATTTCCTGATTGATACATGATGAAGTAGATGAGATCAGACGGTTCTCAATAAATTAGCAAGGAAGAACATAACATTCAAAAGGGGCTAATGAATCACAAAATGCCTCCCTCATAAAATTAAGCAACCCTCAATAAATGTAGATGAATGAAATGATAATGGCTCAGCATTTTGTATTTTCTTAGTGCTTAGAGCAACCTTATAAATATGCAGGGACCTTAAAGAGTAGGGAGGGGTGAGAGACTGCTGCTGATATATAACTTGCTAAATAGTGACATTGATGGCAACTCTAATTTACCCTGATTCCAGCAGAAGGGCTAATTAGTTTGTTCTCTAAGCCACAAAATGAAAATAATGCGACATTTTTTGCTCATCTTCACAAAAGGTCTAATAGGGGCATAAATTCAGTCCAAGGATTTTTTTTTTTTTTTATGTTGGGAAGTTTTAAAAGGCTTTTGTTTGCCTTCAGTCATTGACATCCTCTAAATTGTCATGCTCTTTCCTTTTCAAAGCTAATAAGTTGTTGAAGGATCTGGATTTGAACATTCTGGTTGTTGGGTCTTGGGGTTATAGATCCTCTATACCTCAGAATCCTTATGACTACATAAGAAATCCGACAAGTGATGTATGTGCAGGTGATTACGCAATGCCTGGCCCCACATGGGATTTCACTGATAGGGATTGAATCCAAATATGTGCAGAGGAAAAAACCAGGTGTTCCCAGTTCCATGGAACTGCAAATTATCTGTAGCCTTCCACTGACCACAGAGCCCAGCGTGCAAAAGAGGAAGGCACATATCAGGACTGTGAAAAGTTGAAAAGGCTAGTGCAGGACCTGACCCAGGGCATAGAAGCAGGAGCAGAGCGGGGAAAACCTTCCTGGACTTTTCTCGCATGATTTCCCTGAGTGACTGGCAGTGAAAACTGCAGCTGGAGCCCCATGACTTGTGGCCCATTTTTCCTGTCCTTAGTCATGCTTTTGCACACCACTGATGCAACAGGCTACCAAGACTAGTGACTGAGAGCAAGAGGGAACATCCACTCCTCCAAGTATAGCTCTATATCAGAGTCTAAAGAGAAAAGGAAAAAAGAGAGCCAGACCTTTTGCCTCCACAGCAAAGGTCTTAACACTAGCAGAGCTAACACCTMCTTTTATGATAAACATGTTATAACATCTTTTTTTCCTCCTGAAATGAAAATCTTAAATAATGTAACCTATCTGCCTACATAATTAAAAAATATATAGTTTCCTAACTCTAATATGAAGAATAAATAAAAAGAAAATAATTCATAGTAAAGTAATACATATTTCAGTATTATGTAGCCAAGACCTATCCTAGCAGATATGATCTTTCATTCYCCCTTACCATGAACACTTTTATTTAAAAGGAATAAAACATTCAACTAAGAATTGTCAGCCTTTTTTGCTTGTAATTGACATTATGAATGAGGGACTAAATATAAGAGTGTGTTCACATATCACACACATATATACATGATTGCCATTAATGTGATAGCTACAAATATAGACCAATTTGGGGACATTTTACTGGCAGTTCTGATATCCTGAGTGGCATTGACTTCACTGCCATGATTTTTTCCAAAATGGTGACAGCTCATGGGTGAAGTTCCAAATAAAACAGTACAAACATTTTTTGATTTACATGGTAATTATGCTCCTGGGAAATTTATTGTATATTAAAACTGTATCAAAGTGTTAGATGCTATAAATCCACCTGAAAGCCCAGCAGGGCATTTGAGTTCTTTGAGCTGGAGGAGGAGATCAGTGGTAAAGAGCATTAACAAGGCCCTGGTTCAATTCCCATCATCAAAAATGATGATGATGATGATGATGATGATATGATGAAAGTTGAACAATTCCTCCTTGTGCAGGTCTGTCCTAGACCTCACTAGATGTCGTGTATCCCTAGTCCCCACCCACAGGCTAAGAGTAGCACCAGCTCTTGTGGTAACTAAAAATATTCTCATAAATGTCTAGAACACTCCTTTACACCACTACCTTAAAGGGGTATAAGAATAGAGGTGGCAGCATGATAGAGGGATAAATTTAGCTGTCCTGAAGAATGGATTTTTAAAGAACCCAGAATTGCCAATATACATCTTTGCTTTCTTTGACCACCCTGTTCTTTAAAATAAAACTTCCTTTAGGATAAAACTGCCATTTCTTGCTTTTCCAATTACAGATTGCTTCTATAAATTTCAGGCCCCAATGTTATGCTGATGATTATTCCTCAAACCCTGAAGATTCTGTTTTATTCTGATGGGGTCACTTCTGTTTCTATCACCTTTTGTATGCACCATTACTCATCTTCTTGGGACTGTTGCAGCCTTGATTTTTATTGCAATTTTTTATGCCTACCTGTCTGTCCTAGCCAAGAAAATAGATACTGGTTTGACAGAGGTTATTTTCAGGGTTGAGTATGGATGAGCTGTGCTTATTTTGGTTGAGCATAAATGTTCATTAGGAATTAAAGCCACCTGTATGGGCTGGGAGTGTAGCTTGGTGGTAGAGCACCTGCCTAACATGCACAAGGTCCCAGGTTCAATCCCTAGCACACCCACACACCCCACCTAAAACAGCCACCTTGTCACCAGATTGTGACATTCTCTTATTTCCAAGAGGGATTCAAGAAGTGCAGCCATCACTATTTGTTTCTGAACTGCTGTTTGCACAGGAGGTTTCAGTTGTCGAGGGAGAGGATGAGTGTCTTGTTATACCTGCGCAAGTACAACTCAGTGCGGTAAAATGTACAACACTTCATCTAGCCCAGAAGATTTTTTTTTTTTTAATCAGTGTGAAACTGAGGTGTTCTGTTTCCTCTTTTCCAGCTGACATCCCAGCATCCGTATGCTGAAGTTTTCATTGGCCGGCCGCATGTTTGGACTGTCAATCTCAACAATCAGGAAGAAGTCGAGGATGCAGTGAAAGCGATTTTGAATCAGAAGGTTGTTTCTTTAATTCCATTTCCCCCCATTTGTGATGTGACCTGATGTGTGGAAAGCATCACAGTCCCATGGTTTCAGTCAATGGCACTTTCCCACAATAGCTGGAGTTAGAACAATAGCCAGCCTGTAGGACTTGGCCTGGGGATTTCATGGATGTTGTGTGACACGGAAAGCAGAGCCAGTGTCCAGATGGATTCTACTGAACCTGATTACGTCATGGCTCCTGTGTTCCAGGCACAGAAGGAGGGGCTTGAACTATGCTAGCTTCCGAGATCTACTTAAGTCACTCCTAGAGATCTGAAAAGATGGGCCTGCTTCTTTTACCTTACCCACAAAAGAAGGGAGAGGAGATGGGGAAGAAATCGTGAAAGAAGTATTTTTGCATAATATCTGTTTATTTGTTTTTTCTACCAAAATATTAGGTAGGCTCTTGTAAAGTGACTTACTTTTCCGGACTCTTCTCATCAATTCAGTAGACATTTATTAAGCACTTACTGTCTGTGAGAACCATCTGAGTCACTCTGGGAGGGGGAAGGGTGCTTTGTTCCATAACCACAGGTGAGGCTGGCTCACCACCTGTGGGAGTTTACCACCCACCTGGGATGAGTTCAGTTGTCCTGATCCTGCTGTTAACTGTCCCAAGTACACACTGCCCCTGTGCTTCTCCTATCAGAGCACTCTTCACACTTAATTGTAATGTTTAAGAGAATCATGCAAGTGTGCTGTGAGGGTGGCTGGACTTACACACTTTGGATTTGGCTTCCAGTGACTAGTAGAGTTCCCTCCTCTGTAATGTAGAGCTAATATTACATACTTGACTGGTAACCTGAGTGGACTAATGATGTCACATATACAAAGTGCTTGAATACAATGTCTACCACATAGGAAGTGTTTAGCCACTATGAAGTATTTCTTATTTCTTGTAATAGACTATCTGAATTTCTGCTAGACTATAAGCAACATGAAAGCAGCACATATATGTCTGCCTGCTATATTCCTAGTATTCAACACTGTGATTTACCTGGATCAGAAGGAGGAGTTGATGTTAGCAAACAAACACATGCTTAACAGCGCAGATAATGGTTAGTACCAAAATCAACATGCAGAAGATCTAGGGATGGGAGCAGGGGCAGGGGGCGCTTCTGGTGAATGCTGCATTCTGAGTTGTCTTTTGAGTAGGAATTTTCAAAGCAAAACTGTGAATGGCATGGATAAGGCATGGGTTCCGTGGAAGGGGAAGATCCGAGAAGGGCATATATCCTGGATGAATGGCCAGTTTACCTCTTTGAAGCAACATCGTTCCCCTTTGGGAAATAGAATGGGATGATAACAAGTTGGTGGCCCACTAACCTGCCAATTTCAGTTAATTGAGAGCATCTCCAGGGGAGCAAGGGCACTCTGATGTGCTATCCATATTCTGTCCCCTTGAAGATGGTCTGGGCATTGGGCTTTGGTGTAGCTGTCAGCTTCCCAATGGTCACGTATGTAGTCCCAAACCCAGTCTCAACAATTGTAGGCAGAAGTCCCCCAAACTCAACTGACCTAGTTGATAGAAGTTCATAGTGAAGTGTGGTCCTACTGGGCTGCCTGAAAATATCTGCTCCACACCTAAAGTTTTACCACCAGGGAGTCATTCCCGAGGAGATTTAAGGATCTTCCTTCCTGTGTCCCAGAGTTACTTGTGTATTAGTTATCTAGGGCTGGTGTGACATAGTACCACAACTTGATGGCTTGAACAACTGAAATGTAGTCTCTCAGTTTTAAAGGCCTGAAATCAGATGTCAGCAGAGGATCATGCACCCTGTGAAGTATATAGTAGTTCTACTGGACTATATAGTAGTTCCTTATATCTGAAATTTTACTTTCTACGATGTCAGTGACCTATAGTCATCCATGTTACATAAATATTAAATGGAAATTTCCATAAATAAGTCATATATTTTAAATTGCATACCATTCTGAATAATATGATGAGATCTCTTACCATCTTTCTCCATCCCACTCATGACATGAATCAGCCTTTTGTCCAGTGTATCCATGCTATATACACTACCCACCCTGGTTTAGTCACTTAGTAGCTATCTGTTATCAGCTCAGCTATTGTGCTATCACAGTGCTTATATAAAAGGTTTCATACTATCCTCAGTTTTAGGCATCCACAAGGAGTATTAGAATGTATCCCCCATTGATGAGGGGGCTCTTGTATTCTTTCTTGCCCCGTCCAAGCTTCTATCATCCTCAAGCATTACTTGGCTTAAACACTCTGAGCTTTATTCTCTGCCTTCATGACAGCGTGGCTTCTCCCTGTGTGTATCTCTGCTTTCCTCTTCTTGTGCTAGATTAGGGTCCACCCTAAATCAGTGTGACCTCATCTTGACTACAATTACAAAGACCCTATTTCCAAATAAAGTTACATTCACATGTTGAGTGGGACTATTTTCCATTATATAGATGAGAAAATTAAGGCTTAAAAAGATGTTTTGCAAGATCACACTAGTAACTAGTGAAACCTGGAATCAAATTCAAGTCTTTTCACTAGTTTGTTAAGATAATAATTAAAAAAACACAAAATAGAATAAAAGGAAAGTATGGAATAAGGAAAGAGATTAATATAAAAATTATTGTCATAAAAGTTATTGTTAGAGACAGGTCAGAAATTTGGTAGTGTTTTCTCATATGTAATTCCAAGACTTTTAAAYTACATGACACCCAAAAAAGAAAAAGAAAACATGACCTTACATTAAGAGAGGAAACAATCAACACAACCAGAACTTGAGATGGTCGAGATATTGGAATTCTGAGATAACAACTTTAAAATTTTATAATAAGCCAGGCAAGGTTATGTACTCCTGTAATCACATCAACTCAGGTGGCTAAGGCAGGAGGATCACAAGTTCAAGGTCAGCCTAGGAAACTTAACAAGACCTTTAATGCTCCACATAAAAAATAAAAAGGGCAGGATGTAGCTCAGTGGTAGATCACCCTTGGTTTCCATCCCTAGCACCTACACACAAAAAAAGTTCTATGATAAATGTATTGAACAATTTGGGGAAGAAAGTGGACACCATATATGTAAACAGATCGGAAATTTCACCAGAGAGGTGTAAGCTATTTTTTAAGTCAAATGAAAATTCTAGAAAAGAAAAATACAATGTCAGAAATGCATTCCTTCAGTGGCTTCTAAGCAGACTGTACATAGCAGAAGGGGAAAAAAATGAAGTTGGAGACTCGTCAATAGAAATTATTCAAACTGAAACACAGAGAAAGATGAAATGGAAAAGGGTACATGGTATCTTTGGGACAAAATTAAGCGGCATAAGTTAGGTGTAGTTGGAATCTGAAAAAAGGGAGAGACTGGCACAGAAGAAATTTCTGAAAGAGCAGTGGGTAAGAATTTTCCAATTAATGAGTGAAGAATTTTCCAATCAACTTACAAATGCCAAGGGCACAGTGGACCCCAACAGGAAAAAATACAAAAAGAAAAACACATAGTCAAAGGACAAGAAACAAAAGAAGGAAAAATCTTGAAAGCAGTTAGCTGGAGAAAAACATTACGTTCAGAGGAATGATATTAAAGACAGCCAACTACTCATCAGAAACAATGGAAACCATAAAACAGTTCCTAGGAACTAGAAGATGTATGGGGCTTTTAAATAGGCACTCTTGGGGACACGTATTTTTAAGTATGGTGGGAAATTTTGAACAGGACAATGACATGACCTAGTTTATATTTGGAATCCTCCAGAGAAAATATAAGATCTCCCTAACTTAAAATCTTATGGCTAGTAAAAGAGGAACCTAGACTTAAACCCTGGTTTTCTGGTACCTTCAAAGACCATCTCTTCATCAGATAATGTCAAGCCACCTGTTAGGTGAGACCATTCAGGCTTTAGCTGATTTCTGAAAGCAGTTCGCAGTAAGATTTGCAAAGGTGAGTGGGTTCCAGTGGACACAGGAAATCTCACAGGAAAGGAGGTCCAGAGGAGAAGATGGGAAGTTCATAGAAATTTTCCAAGCCAGCAGGCCAGTAGCCTGCAAACATCCTGCCTGTGGCCTTAGTTGGATGAGTAACAGGCCTTTTTCCACAAAGGAGGATGACCACAAATGTGCTCCTTTCTCTTTTGGGCCCTACTTAGGTTTCTCAGGGACTGGGTGTGGTTTCAGCATTCTCTTTCATTCCATACCCCAAAGCGGCCTTCACTTGTTCCTGAAGGTCTATTAGGCAGAAGGCTGTCCCTTCCCTTCAGTCCATGAAACAGCTTCCACTTCTGGGGTGTGCTGTTGCTCTCTGTCCCCTAAGCCCAGGGTTTGGAGAGCTTTCCCATGCAGAGGAGGCTGCTCCCACCCACACTGGAATGGCAAGGGGGACTGTCCCCCTGGCAGTGCAGTGGCATAGGAATGCAGTTTCCTTTTTTTTTTTTTCTTTTTTGCTTTTCCTTTGTAGGAAAACTGTCTGGCTTCATATCCTTTAAAACAGTGAACTGGCCCCAGAGCAATGAATGAGTCAGCATCCCTTTGGTTAAATTGGGCGTGACTGGGAGAACAGGAAGAGCCATTTTCTGTATTTACTGCATTGAATCTTTTGAATTCATTAATTTATGTGTTCTAATGGATGCCCTTTGGAATATATTGTCAGAATGGCCATTGGGTGCTTCCTGCCACAGAAGTAGATCTCTTGGTCTTGTAATAGAAGAACACCAATGTATCTTTAATTCTGAATTCTACTTGTCTACTTGTAAATGAATCCAGATATGCCATGTCCTCTGCCTTAAGTGGTTTCTTTTGGTTCCTGTGTATCCTTTGAGAGGAGACATTTCTCTAGGCCTGTTACATAAAGCTTCTTGAATCATCCATGAGTTGAGTAAATAAATACCCTTTAAAAGAAAATAAAATTTCACATTTCATATGAAGAGCTATATCTAGGTCAGAAATGGCCCTGCTGAGGTACAGAAGCTTGAAATGGGGACAGACAAGCTGAGAATATGTTCTTCAAAGAAGGTTGAGCTCTGAGAGATGAGGAAGGTGACCTCTCTGTTCTTGTGGAAGAGTGTCCATGATCTTACAGAGGCTCAGCCTCTCCTGACCATCCAGACAGATGTGGACAGGTATAGCTGAGATCCAACCTGTGTGATGAAACTGGCATCCAGTTGTCTATAAACACACTACTGGCATTTAATTGTGCATAAATAAAGATATGTTATCAATTTTTTATAAATCATGGCTTAAGATTTTAAATATAACATAAACTTAGAGAAAAGGGGAGAGGATGTCCCGAGACCAACTACGTGGCTGCCCACTAAGGAATGTCCTCTGTCCATTGTCCCACGTTTAGCAGGCCTCAGATCTTAGATACTTTGTCCTGTTCTCTAYCCCAGAGATCTGAGGTAGGTAAGTGTAGACTCGAGAGGAAGAGGTGAAGGTGCTCCTTCCCACCCAGAGACCCCCAGGGGCTATGGGGCTCTGTGAAGCTGGTGATTTTCTCCGAAGTGAATTTCCCATCTCAGATTGGTGTGCTGCTGAAGATGCAGACCTCAGCGTCCTAGCAAACATGGTGCAGTGGAGATCCTATCTTCTCCTTCTCTCCAGGCTCAGTGTAGATTGGAATGCCTCCCCCACAACAGTGAGCACCTCCCAGGGTTTTCTGCCCCCCTCGAAGTTCAAGCAACTCAATTTAGAAATCTCAAGGCTTTTGGTGAGATCAGTGAGTCTTTCCTGCGTCCTCTCACCAACATCCACAGTCCTGAGCTGCAGCTTCCTCTGCCTTTGCACATCAAATCTCACGCTACTCCACCTGGAACAGCTGCCATCTCTCCTCACTCCCCAGCCTTGGCTCTCTGGACTCATAAACATAGTCTGCTTCGTCCTCTGACCTCCCAGAGTCCTCTAGCTGGGCTCTTCAGGGCCTTATATCACTTAGTTTWGTACCATGAGTTCCTTCCATATGTGCTGAACTCACCTAAGAGTGTAACCCAGTTTTCCGGTCACTGTTGTGGGTCCATAAATAGCTCATTGTGTGGTTTCCTCAAAGCAGTGTAACCTTGTCTTCATTTAACAGATTCATGCTAAGAGCCTACCTGTCCCACACTGTATGCACACAGGGATGCAGATGACACAGCCATAACTTTACCCCAGGGGGCTTACCTGCTAGCAAGTGGTAAATCTCCACCTTCCTTCGAGTGTTGCGTGCCTACTGTGTGCTAAACACTAACCTTAGTGCCTTTCCCCTTTTATAGTCTTCACTGTAGCTTAAAAAAAATGGTGGCTTTTCTTGCCACTGCTTCATTCATGTGTTATCTAAGACTTGTGGATGGTAGACAGTCTGCTCAGGGACTGCACCTAGGGAAGACAGGGTAAGTTGGGAAACTGGTGACTTCCAGTCTCTCCCAAGGCTGCCTGCAGGCATTGACATTCATGCATTGGGCGGGTTCTAGGAGAGCTGGTAAGTGGTGCGTGTGGTGTGTTCTCCTCATTCATGGAGCCTTGTTCTGTTTCCGCAGATTGAGCCATACATGCCCTACGAATTCACATGTGAGGGGATGTTGCAGCGAATCAATGCATTCATCGAAAAACAAGTAAGTCTTGTCAAAGAATCCATTTTTCCTTGCTTCCCATTCCCTCATCAGGTTCTCATCAACAGTTGTGAGCTCACAATATTTCTGTGGTTATTTGCCTGCTTTGGAAGTCTCCAGAATCTGGATAATGCCTTGTTGGAATTCTTAATGCAGCACCATCACGGTCACCCAAGGGAGCAGTCTTTCATTGGGGGATGTTCTTGGTGACAGTGGAAGGTCACATGGACACTGATAGCAGGGGAGACGGGATGATCAGCTCAGAGTTTTCCCTGACCAGCAGGGCTTGTGAAGTACGTGGGCTGCGGGGGCATCACAAGGACTTAGGAGGGGTAGACAGACAGCTGTCTGTCCTGCCTTCGTTTCCCACCCCCCAAGAAAGGCAAGGACTGAAACTGGTTTCTAAGCTTTCTTTTAATAGTATGTGCTCAGTAATTCTAAGCATTTTAGGACTTTTTAGTGGTTTTTCAAATATCTCTTCACACAAGACCCCTTTCAAACGAATCCTAGGTATATAAAACAGATAAAAGAAGGACTTCAACTCCAAAGCAGGGGAGAGTGCACACAGTTCCACCACCCCCAACAGGGCTTGGAAACTACAGCTTGTGTCCTTAGAAGTGAAGGCCATGAGTGTCACTACCTTCCTTTTATAATGTTTTAATTCCTTGGGCTTCAAAAGAAACCCAGAGCTAGAAATAGACAGACTGGGAACCCCTGTGGGTAGGAGAATCTGAACTCCTTGACCAGATTTCAAATATAAGGGGCTCCCTTTAAAGGGCAGGGCAGAGTGGTCTAGGCCGTAAAGGATCTTTACCCAGTGGGGGACCAACAGAGCCAACTGAAAATAGAAACCGTGAGTTGAAAATTTAAGTAGGCAATAGACTGAAGGCCTAGCGGGAGTTTCAAAAGGAAGAGTTGGTGGTTTGAGGAAAGTAAGGTGGTGGATGGTGGACGGCGAGCACCATGGCACATGGGCTTCAGGATGGCCTGTCTGATCATCTCAGGTTGTGAGAGCTGCAAAAGGATGTGCCCCCCAGTCCAGCCGCTAGGTTCAGCTCTTAGCACCATGAGTCTGTGGTTATAAGAGTTGAACAGACATTACTCAGCTTCTCTGTGCCTTCTTCCCTCAGTAACATAAGAATAGTAAGAGGACCTTACTGAGCTAATGGGAAGATCACACAAGCTAATACACAGAAAGTGTTTGGAACAGGGCCTTGCACATAGTTCTCAATAAATGTGACCTAGTATTGTTATTGAACATGTTATGCTATATTATAGTATATTAAATTATGTGATAACCCATTAATAATTATACATCTCATACATTACTTCTCAGGCTTTTCCAGGAGAGCGTAACATTGGGCTCATCATCTCATTCAGTCTGTACATGACTACAGAATGGTGGCATTATCATAACTAACTGCCATGTATACACAGATGCTATGCCAACACTTGAAACACGTCACAGTACCCTACCCCCCCCCCCGCCCCGCCCAATCTGCGGTTTCACTTTCCAAGGTTTTGATTACCCACAGTCAACCACAACCCAAAAATACCAAGTGGAAAATACCAGTACAGTGAGATATTTGAGAGACAGAAATACGACCATATTCACATAACTTCTTTTACAGTGCATCGTTATTATTGTTTTAATTTTAGTTAATCTCTTGCCACGCCTAATTTATAAAATAAACTTTATCATAGGAGGAAAGATATATAGGGTTTGGTACTATCTACAGTTTCAGGCATCCAGTTGGTGTTCAGAACGTGTCCCTGAGGACAAGGGAGAACTACTTAATGGGTAACATCTCATTTAATCTTCACAGTAGTCCCAGGAGGTGGCAATAATAACCCCATTCTCTGCATAATGGGAACCGGGACTCTCAGGCATGAGGCTCACAGGTGGAGCAGTCAAGATTCAATACAGTGTAGTGTCTGCAATGGAAGCATTTGCTAGAGACTCAGGAGGTGGCAGGTGTCCCTAAGCTCAGCTTCTCACATTCTCCCTGGTGGACCTCCCTGAAGGTTTGGAGAGGAGCCACTGACCACCTCTGGCACAGAGTTTTGATACCTCACAGCTGTGCCTACCATACCCTCCCTCTCAGAGGCTCTCTTGAGCTCTTACTCCATTTCTGTGGCTGCTTCTGAAACTCTTTTCCTTTTTTCCTGGTTCTGCCTCCTCTTAGGAGAAAGTCACCAGCAGACATAAATGTCTCTTGGACAGGTTTATTTGACGATCTTTACTTCTTTCCTCCCTGAGTCAGCTTATGAATTCAGCCAGTCCTTATGAGGTCTCAGCTCCTCTATTGAGTCTAATGCTAGATTTCCTTTTAAGCAGGAAGGTCCAATTTCCCAAACAGACCTTGTTAAGTGCTCCTTAGCGCCAGCTCCTCCTGGCTTGTTCACCTCACAATCCCACGCGCCCAGCACCAGCCTGGTACTAAAATTATAAATATTCTAAAACATACTACTAAAATTCTCTTCTGGAAAACATGCTCCTTCCCATCATTTCTGGATAGAGACTTTTCTACAGGGATATTCTGGCCACAGAAATCCAGAGATATCTCTTTTTTTACCTGCCTTATTGACTCTCATCAACTCTGTGACTACTTGTTAGTACAGCACGCCACGCGCTGTGCAGGCATTCGGGAAGAGAAGTCCGAGGCCTTGGAGGCCTTGGGTGGGTGAGGTTTCATAGAGCCAGTGCACCCCTGCAGGTTGAACTCTGTACAAGTGATGGAACCAGGGTGCTTTGTGATCATGTAACTCAGTCCCCAGGGAGGAGAACGGGAGAGATGGCAAGAGTAATGGAAGGCATCTTGTAGGAGGTAAGTCCTGAAAGAAAGTAGGAGAAAGAAAGTGGGAAGGGCAAACCAAGTCGAGATGTCAGGGCCTTAAAAAAAAAAAAAAAAAGGAAATGACGGTGAATTTTAGGATGCATAGGTATGTGTGGCTGAAGAGCAGGGTGGCATGGGAGACAAGGCTGGAGGAGGAACCAGTGTGAAAAGACCAAGGCTCATCTGGAGGGTCCAGATTTGATTCTGGGATAAGCTAAAGAAAAGATTTACCACAGGGTGAGCAGCAATGGTGCTACCAGGAGCTCTAGAAAAATCTTTCTAGGAATCTTGTATTTAGGGAATTTCTTGTAAAACATTCTCCCAGTGCTGCTAAATGGGCAATAAAGGAGACAATAGTTTGAGTTTGCCAGACCAGACCCCATTGGCCCACAGACTGAGTCTCCAGCCTCTCACTATGAGCTCCAGGTCCCAGTCTTATACAGCTTGGGGCATTGGTTATTTTTACAGCCGGCAGAGTATCTTCAAAGAGCAGCGAGGATGGAGAGAATGTGCCTCTGGTGTACGTGGAAAAGGCTGCAGCCATAAGCAGGAGCTTCCTGTGTGTGAACTGGGGGAGCTACAGTGCTTGTTAGGCTGATCTCAGCCTCAGAGTCCTCCCTGTGATCTGCAAGGGGAACACAGGGGCTTTTATCCCAGAATACTTTCAAGGTCGTCCATCATGCTTACCCAAGGTGGCAGGCACCAGAGGAAGCCAATTGACAGCAATCGAGAGCACCCCAGGCTTTAGTGCACAGTTGAACAGCCACTGGCAGGAAACCTTCCTCAGATCCAGCCAGCCCGATGTGCAGGCACCCAGAGGGAAAGAAGCCTGGCTCTAGGAGGAGTGCTTGCTCTTCTCCCTCCATGCACCCACCCTAGACACTTTGCTATACTACAAATGTTGATTGGTTTGCATGCTCTTTGAGATGAGCACTTTAAAAAGCTGTCTCCAGCAAAGGGGTAGTGAGTGCCAAGGGGGAAGTCCCTTGTAATTGAAGATCAAGGGCAATTATTCCCTGAGTGTGTCCAGGCTTGTTAAGGTTTTCCTTGTGCATTTCTTAGGGAAGTTTTGTATTTGCCTCCAGCTAGATAACATAGCAAGGAAAGACAGTGTTCTCATGGGTTTCTGAAAGCCACACATAGACTCTCTTCTACCCTATTTTCCACTCCCCATAAAGACTGTGAATGTGCAGGATGGTCAGTCACACTCATGGTTTATAAAGAGCCTTGGAATTCATGTGAAAAGCATACTGGAGATATGGAGGGACGAAGAGTCAAGTCCAAAAACAGCGGTGGAAACTGATTAAGCTCCTCTGAGAGAGGAGCTGTCTTGCTCCTCTGAGTCCAGGTAGAACTTACTGGTGTATGTTCTAGGTGCAAGGGAAGCCTCTTAGTGAGTCTGGGTAGTCCCAGGGCAGGGAGATGGTAGAGGTGACAGAGGTCCCCGAACAAAAGAGGAGAAGGAATTGGCAGGGGGAGAAGATGGGCACTGGCTTGAGAAGTCTTTACTCTTGAAATAGCTGAGGCTACTGTCGATCTGCTCCTGGAGCCTGGAGGGGTGGCAATAGAGTGCTGGACCCTAGAATCTTCACATCTGCTCTGCTGCCACTGACTTTGACCCTGGGCAGGTTATCTACCCTCTCTGTGCTCTTTCCTCTTCTGTGAAATAGGGATAATGCTTTTGCCTCATGGTGTTGGTGGAGGAATCAATAGATTAATACATGATGAGGCTAAGAACTGTAGCTGGCCCACATGAGCACTCTGAAAGCCTTAACTGTTTGTTGCTGCAGGAGCCCAGAAACCAGCCAAGGTATCTTTTTCTAACAGCCTCACTGAGGTGTAATTTACAGACCATAAAAATCACTCCATATAAGGACGCAATCAGTGTTTATTTAGCAAATTGATCAAGATGAACAGTAACTACCTCAGTCTAGTTTAGCAACATTTCTGTCACCCCAAAATGATATCTGTCCGCAATCAGTTCTTGTTTCTGCCTCCGCCTCGGGAATCACTTATCTGTTTCCTTTCTCTGCAGCTTTGCCTTTTCTGGAGATTTCTGGCCTCTCTCACTTAGCATATGTTGTTGGGGCTCCTCCAGGTTGTAGTGTGTATCTGAGTTTATTTCCTTTTATTGCTGAATAGTATTTCATAGAGTGGATGTACTAC